CTGCTGCACCACTGGGAGGCCCGGTACTTCTTTTTTTAAGAAAAAGTTGATTATGTTATAACTAGCAATTATAAGTATAATAAGAAGTCTATAAGTAATTATAAAAATGTAAATACTATGCCATAAGATTATGAAATCAAAGACAATGTTTATCCATATAGCTAATGCTCAGCTTGGCTCTTGGCATACAGAGTTGACCCTTGATAAATTTTTATGAGTAAATGGGTGACATGATCCTAGGAAGTGAAAGTGGGCTTCAGTTAAAGAAACAACACAGTATGCTATCTGATAAGTTAATAATAAAGGGGCAAAATGTTCCAGAGATAGAAGGAACTCTAATTCACCAGGAGTCAATACATTAGAGGATTGCGTTTTTGGTAAAGACAAGAACAAATTGAAACTAGTCTTGCTGAATATGCTGATCCATAACACCAAAAGGTGTAAAGAGTAAAACCTAATATAAATCTCACGAGAGTGTGAAGTCTCTCACGTGGTTAATGATCAATTATCCAGGCAAATGGGGGAGCTATTATTGCTTAGCAGAGTTTATATATTTAAAATTTGGATGAGGGGTGAAAAGGAAGTGGGATAATATGAACAGTAATATAAATATACTACTGGTCAAAAAAGATAAACCAGATATATGCAGCATTCACAAGAAAAAAATATATGAGAAGTAATCATTCCTCTGAGTATTCTTCTTAACACTGGGATGCATAATAATGCTATTGAATAAACTCTAATGTGTCCATGGGAATAGAAGAGAAAGTATGGGGTGGTAAGGGGCCAGAGAATTATTGTAGATTTGAATTACTAAAGGAACTAGGAATGTTTAGATTGAGGACAGAACAAAGGAGAATGTGATGATGATCTTCAAATATTTGAAAGGCAGACAGAAAAGGAAGCAGAGATAATGGTTTTAAGATGGTAGCTAAGCTAACCTGTTACACACTTAATGACATATACATATATGTGCACGAAGTATAAATGCAGCTATATTTTATATTTTCAAATATGCAAAATGTAGACACATTAAATACATCAGAGTTAGAACATAAGAATTGTTAACACTCTGTGGTCCAGAAACAAACAGAAAATGGGTGAAATAAAATTGCAAAGAAGTCTATAGGTTAGAACTCATATGCAAGAATGCAGTTGTAAAAGATGGGAACAGAAAGTTAAGTAGCCTACCTGTGGTATCTTTGGTGAGGCGAGGGATGTAGCCAAGTCAATTAGATACCATCATGCACACACATGATGTGTGATGTGTGTGTCCTCCATGCACACACACATGCACATATACATACACATATGCTAGAAACTGAGGATCTATCCTGAGATGAGAATGAGGAATGTGTGAGCTTGAGACAGGGCAGTTCCTAGGTAATGTTGATATGCGAGACCCTCCCTAGAGGCCCAGCTGAGGGCACTACGGATTCCACCAGTGATGGTGTTCAAACCTCCTCTCAAGCAAGCAGAACTTGCAATCTCAACTAGAAAGATGGGCACATACTGAAGAGAGAGCTAGCATCCATGAAAAGCCCACTGCATAAAAAAGGGAATAATTCAACAAACAGTATACCTGAGGAAACAGAATCAATAGAGCAATTAGAATGGGGACTTGTAGGGCCTCCCCTGGTGGCACAGGTGTTTGAACGCCGCACTGTGAAGCTGTCCGCAGCCTCTGCAGCGCCAGTTCGATCCCAGCCGATCAGTGAGGGTCCCAGGTGGTGTGGCAGACCTCTCTTGTCCCGCCCGCTGCTCCCCTCAGCAGTGTAGTTCATCAGTCTGCCTGTTCTGTTCCCCCCTCTGTCTCAGGTGAATCCTCTCACCCTCCCGCGCATCTGGCCTATACCCTGGTTCTTGTGTAAATGAGTAAATAAATCTTTAAAAATAATAATAATAAAAAATAAAATAAAAGGCAGATCTTGTGAGTCTGGATAAGAGCAAGGTGCCACTACATGTTATCTATAAAAGATGCATTTAAAAAAAAGAAGAAGAATGGGGACTTGTAGAAAAGGAATAGACATGCTCTATGTAATTTTTGAAAGCTAAGAAAGGTAGAATTCTGCTCAGTGTAAAGTAAGAACTTTTCAAATAGTTATATTCTCCCAATGATGATTTCAACATACAAGCACATACAAACTCTAGCTCTATCCTATATGGCATTTTAATCAAATACTCAATTAAAGGTGTACAAAGGTACATTATCAAAACAGGGCAGTTTTTTAAAACAATTTAGCCAACAGACTAAAATAAATTGACTAGGGAATAGGAAATAACCTACAATCATAGAACCTGCCATATAATATCCTTACAATAAATACTTACCAAATAAACTTAAGCACTCTCAGGGCACACACATGTACATCTTATTCAAACATGAATTATTCATGTTCAGACATGGTGTTCATTTAATTTTTATTCTAGTATGGAAATGAGCTATAAGTGAATGAATACATATCGGTAGTGATAATTTCCATGGAAAAAAATACAGATGGAAAGAAGAGAGAGGATAATATAGAATTGATTTTGTTTTGTTTTCATTTGTTTTAGAGATGAGACTACTTTAACAAAGGAGACATTTGAGCAGATAAATAAAGCAAGGCAGTGTATCTGTGCAGTGTATAACACTTTCACTGTGTAACAAATCACCCCAGAGTTTATTGACTTGAGATGATGTCATGGCTTCAGCGTGTCAGGAAGCAGGGCACAGTCTAGCTGGTTCCAGTATCTCTGGCTCAGCATCTGTCATGAGTTTGCATCAAAGTGTCCTCAGGACTGCAGTCATTGCAAGTCCATCAGGGAAGACCTGCTTCCAACTCCACTCAGGAGGTTGTGGGCAGGACTGAGTCCGCCCCCCACCCCCCAGGCTGTTGGACTGAGGGTCTCAGTTCCTGACTGGCTGCTCGCTATAAGTCACCCTGTTTTTCAGCACACCAGCCTCTCTAAAGGGCAGTCCACAAATGGCAAACTGCTTGCCCAGAGCAAGCAGGAGAGAAAGTGAGCAAGGACAAAGTCACAGTCTTTTATAGCCTAATCTTGGCTGTGAACCCCCCACACCTTGCTGTAGTCTATTCTTTAGGAGCAAGTCATTTATGCGACTCACAGATAGAGAAGGGGCGTAAACAAGGGCATGAACCCCAGCAGGTGGGATTACTGGGAGTCATGTCAGGACGCTGCCTACCAAGGTGCCCCATACAGACTGGGAGACACCAGTGCCAGATGTTGGTAACAGCAAATGCAAAGACCAAGGCATGTTTGAGGGACACAGAAGGTGTAAGACCAGGAGGCAGAGTTCTAAAGTAGACAGGGACCAGATCCTAGGTCATATGGAACTTTTTAAGTCTTAAGTCGTTTGGATTTGATTATGAGTGTGAAGAAAATCTCTTGGAAGGGTTTCAGCAGGAGAGGTTAAATCAACCTTTCTTTGACAAAATCATAGTGATAGGAAATGGTACATTCTATTTGCTTGTTTTATCTTTAATGACCTTTCTAAGGGGAATGCTGGCAATTCCATGTCAGTTGTTCTCCATATTACAAAATTATTTTATGTTGCTGGCTCTAACATGCTGAATCTGACAAGCTAGATGATTGAAAGTCAGATTTTTTAGGACTTGAGTTCACCTCTGTTGGAGAAAGATGGCTGATTTATTATTATGACTGTCATTACTATCGCTGTTATTTTCATTGCAATCAATTGGGCTTATCCCACTTGAATGTCAGGCAAAGTTTGGGGTAAACAAGAAGTTGGGGGTCCAAAGCCATATGGTAAATTGATCCTCTACTGCATATAGGAAGTCACTGGTGAAGGTGTCCCAGAGCCCATGGACAGCCAGGGAGTTGGGGGGTCTACTACCTCTCGGAGAATAAACACACTTTAAATTGCTGATTCCTTCTCCCTAGTTATCTGGGTCAGTTAATCCCAGCACAGAGCTGCCAGTCCAGCTCTTCGCTGGCCAAGCTGCTCTGCTTTGAAATTCTCCCCCAGGCTACCTCGCCCAATGATGTCAGGCAGGGTGAGAGCCCTGCCAGCCCTCCCCTCTCACAAGATGATGTGCAAGGGGAAATGCACGCTGTCTGTGCTCAGGAAACATCTGGCTGATCCGCTAGTCCTCAAGCGGGACGCTGGCTGTTTTATAAGTTAGTGGAAGAGAATGGGGTGGGAAGACATGGCGCTTCAGAGATTACTCCACCTCACCAGCAAGTTACAAATGAAAATGAGACATGAGGAAACAGCCTCCCTGGCAGGTCCCCTCCAGGGACCCACACCGTTGCTGCACAGTCACATTTCCTAACTTGTAATGGAAAACCCACACTGTTTACAAGAGCTTAAAGTAGCTGAAATGGGAACGTGAGCCAAGCCGTGGCGTGGAGGGCGAACTCCTACTTGGAGGCTTTCAGCAGTCCAGTAATTATTCAATACCAGCCTGAAATATAGGCTCCTAATGAAGAATATTATTCACTTTCACTTGGAAAATGAAACACCACATTCATTGGTAAGCAAAATCCATGACCACTTAAAAACAGATCCAGCCCCTCATAAGCTGTTTGACATAAAACAAAAGTTGCTGTATGTCCTCCACTGAGCTCTAAGTACCGTTTTTGTCCTGCTTGGTTTCCTCTGGATTTTTCTCAGTTTATGAACCACGAGAGAGGAACCGGGTCGAACAGATAGGAGAAAATGGATTTGGTGTGTTGCCCCCACCCCCACCCACGTGTGTATCTGTCCCTAGGGTAATACAGGTTTTCTTAAGTTTCAGGATTCTGGCCTGCAAATGAAAAGGTCTTCTCTTCTAGCCCTGCCTTGCCTCCTGCCTCTCTCCCTCTCCCAATTAAATCAAAAATACCTTTCTGGTATGTGAACTTTTAGATGGTCAGTATAAGTCCTCCAAAGGTGTTGAATCACCGTGGAAAGGCAAACAAAAATTTTTTAAGTAATAAAATAAAGCAAAAAAAAAAAAAAAAAAAAAGAAAGAAAACACAAAACAATCCTAGCTTTAAAAAATGTATTTTTCTCAAAATTCATTCTTTGGTGAGCATTAGGTGAAACACAAAAGTAAGCGTATATTTTTTGTGGGCCTCACTTTGTGACATAGAGGTCAAACTGAGATCCTGGGGCTTTACAATTGTTGCTCCTGTCATTCCTTCAACATAAAATTTTGAATTACTTTGTGTTCTATGTGTGAAATATACAGTGAGCTCCTTGCTTTATAAGGAGACTTTATAAGCGAACAAAGTGATCTAGCATGAGTGAAGGACTTAACCTGTGCCTGGAATTGAATGAATCAGTAAATGTGAACTATCACCAGCTACTCCCTCCGATTGCACACACCTACCTCCTTTCATGCTACTGCCTCTGTGTTATATCTCAAGTTATTCCTTTTTCCTGCAAAGGAAATCCATCCAAGTTTTGTCAAATTTTTGTGCCTTCAAGGTTCACTACAGACTGATTTTCCTGTAAGATATTCAATGGATTTGGAAAAACCTAATCTATGAGGGTGCTGGATACATGAATTTTCACTTCTAGAAGTCACTCTGACAGATTTGCTGTATTAGTCAGGATTCCCTAGAAACAGAATCAACAGGGTGTGACTGTGTGTGTGTGTGCAGAGAGAGAAAGCTTTTAGTTTAAGGGGTTGGCTCACATGATGATGTAGGCTGAGAAGTCCTAATAACTACAATCAGCAAGCCAGAGACTCAAGAGAGCAGATGGTGTAGTTGCAACCCAAGATCCAAGAAGAGCGAAGATTTCAGCTCAGGTCTGAAGACAGGAAAAGACTGAGCTCCAAAGTCAGCAGTCAGGCAGGAGCAGTTGCCTTTTACTTGTGGAAGGGGTGCCTTTTTTCATCTACTGAGGTATTCCATTAACTGGACGAGGCCCACTTGCATTAGACAGGGTCATCTGCTTTACTTGGCTGATTTAAGTGTTAATCTCATCCAAAAATCCCCCTCAGACACAGTGTGAGTGAACATGTGCTCATAGGGAAGAGCAAAACTGTAACCTCCAAAATTAAAATTAAAAAATAAAATTAGATCAGGAAACAGACCAATCCCCCAAACCCGTACCTAGAATAATGTTTGACCAATGTTATGTTGACACATAAAATTAGCCATCACACCTGTTGATATCCTAGTGTTCATAGATAAGGAAAAAGAATTAATGTGATGAAACTCCTACTATGTGCTAGATACTGGATTGGCGGCACTTTTTAAAGCCTAGTCTTTGGGGAGATAGGAAGTTATCTCAAACTTATTGATAAGGCACATCAGGTCTAGAGATATTAAATACTCTGCTTATGATAAGTCTACTAATCCACTTGGAGATTGGAAAATCAGAAAGACTACGCTGCTCCAGTGCCAGCTTCCATGCTCTTATTCCCAGATCCCAGTACTGTGGTTCGGCTCTGGTTCCTGATGCCTTTCTAACATTGAGCTAAGTCATCAACATGGCATGATTTCCCATGTGTCACTGTTCATATGCCTCTATTTGTAATGCCCTTCTCCCCATAGGCCTGTGCTGAAATCCTACCCAGATTTAGCGCGAGTGGTTCCTCTACATACTTCTGATCTCCTGGTTCAAAAGGATACTGCCCTGTGAACTGGTCATTAGTTGGTATAGGCCAAGCTGCTATTTTTAAAATGCTGTAACTAAAATAAGAAAGTTTATTTTGCTCTCATTACAATCCAGGGGTGGTAGGCCTGTTTTGTGATCCTTAATCTTAGGCTTTCATCTTTGAACCCAAGGCAATTGTTCCAGATCTCATTTCCCAGCCATGGTGAAGGGGACAAGAACCAAGTCAGCTCTTGGACAAGAACCAAGTCAGTTCATAGCTTTTACCATCTTGAACTGGAAGTGGCACATACTTTTCATGCTCAAACAACTCTAGGCAGAACATTCCACATGGCCACACTGTACAAGAGAGGCTTGGTCACTGTGTACTTTGCTAAGAGACAACAGACCCCATGGCAAAATTAGCAGTTACCCACAAACTCTTAAAATATGACATGTTTTTCTTCCATGTGATGGTGATCACATTTTTTCTTATTAACATAAGTTACACACATATTCCCCGTCCTCGACAGCCTGCTGACTCCCTAATGGTAGAATCCATTCTGCTTTCATGTCCTCCACGGCCTAATACTGGGCCTGGTATATCATGTAGAGACCTTGAACAGACTGCTCAGTTCTCACTTCATTATTAAACCTTATGAAATGGAACACATATTATGTGCATCCAAGTAGACATACACAAAAATGTGTATAAATATATATAATTTTTTCTGAAGCCCTCCTGTTTTGTTGATTCTAAATTCAGAGAACCTAAACATACAATGTATGTCTTCTCAAGCAAAAAATATATCTTTTCTTAGAGTTTAAGGTGAGTATAGGAAAAGACACTTTGGTAAAAGCAGACCAGCTTACATTTCTTATGTAAGAGGAGCTGCTGGAGATAGTGGAGTATCCTGGGGGTAGGGCTGGGGGGGTCACTGTAGTTGTTAAGAATGAATCATCTTACCAGGTTATGGTAAGATTCTAAAATCTTTGCTCTGATTCTCAAGATCCCCAGTGGCCCAACTGCCTTCTCCTTCAGCCACATAGGAGCTGCTTCCCTATACCTTCTCTGCTCCATTCATACTGGTCTTTGATAATTCTTCAGACATGGTAGACTTCTGCTCTGAGGACTTTATGCAAATGGTGCCTTCTATATGCAAGTTTTCTCCCCCAACCTTCACCCAGCCAACTCTGCCATGTTCTTCCTAACCCCTCCCCAACATGGTCAGTGACCCAGTTTTACAGCCTCTAGCACCCTTTCCTTGATCTTTCTCTAAACTTATCACCCTGCCAACAGATTGTCCTCTGTGTCTTCTTTCCCAGAACAAAGTGTTTTGAGGGCAGGTACCAAGCCTGTCTCCTTCATCCCAGGAATTGCCATGACTATTCCCTTGCCAAAATAGTCACCAGGCTCTTGTGAAACATTTAGTGAATACATGTCTCCAAGTCTTTAATTGTAATTTTTTGAGGTGGCTAAGTGTTGCTATCAGAAACGTGAGACCCGAATGAATAGGTTCTCCCTGTTTTGTCTTCCCAGCTGGGAATCAAGACTGAAGGGCAGGCATTTCAGACTGGGAATCTAGATGAGGAATCTCAGCTGGGGAACCGGGCCAGGACTCTCACTGTGTGAAATGGGAACATTTGCAAGGGAAGTGACCTTCTGTTGGAATTCCTCAGTTTCAAGGTGGCCATTAATTCGAAATTGTTATGCAGTGTGAATAACTTGCCTGTGGAAAAAATACAGCATTGACAGTAGTGCTACTTTTGTCATTGAAATCCTGAAGTCCTGACTAATCTCAGCTGGATTCAGTCCAGACTGCACCTTTACCACAACATTAAATATAACCTGAAGTCACACCAGCAAAGAAAGGATGTTTGTAATTTCAACGAAGAACCCATGGGAACCTGAAGAATCTAGAACTACCAATAAACTGGGAAATAATTTGCCTTAAATTAAATCACCAAGGGATATTATTACTTAATGTAATTAAATTCAGCCTCTATCTGGATGGGTTTAGTCTTCTGTGTGTGCCAATGAGTCAATCTTCTCTAAACCATTCATTCACTCAGGTTGGCCCAATAATCAAAGTAAAATACCTGCTTCTGTCCACAAAGATCTTGTTGTCTATTTGGAGAGACAGACACAGGAAAAGTAAGTAAAACAAAGAGCTAGAGGAATGATGCTATAACTTTCAAATTCCAAAGACACATCTAGCCCCTGCTGAAAGGTACCCCTTGAAGAACCAGGTGCAACTTCTAACATACCCGTCCTATGCATTTTTTTGCACCTTTGGAATCTACTGCTGACTCAGAGGTTCTCAGCTTCCCATATAACCCCGAATTTCAGTTCTATTTAGGACAGTCTTCTACTCCAAATGAGGAAGCATAAATGCCAAAAAGTCATAACTACGAGTTTAGAGCAAACTTTGTGACCTCTTTTTGACTATCATCTAAAACTCATTCTCGGTATTCTTAGAGTTCTGAGCAAATTCTTGCACACTGATAAAAAGTTAGGGCATGCAGGACACCACACACAATTGCCTACTAAGTGCTTGCTGCTAAGACTATCATCCTATTGCATGTGTTTCAATGACGCTATACACAAAATTTCAACTTGACCTCTACAAGGCATTTAGATGTAGTTGATCTAAATTTAAATTCCAGCTACATTACTGATAAGCTATACTGAAGATAACTGTGTGAGGTATCTACTTATTTGCATCATTCTATCCACACGAGCACAATGACTGAGGTAGGGAAGGTCCATGGGATAATTTGGTATGCATTAGAAAGAAATGCTTATTTTTGGCTCAGTGTGAGGTTGGGAAGATGCAAGGCTGCCTTTCTACTTTTTGCTGGCAGCAGCAACCCAGCCACCAAACATTGCCCAACAATGAAGATACTTGAAAAAAGCTGAATTCCAATGTCAGTTTCAGCACCTGCATCAACCCCTACCTGAGGCTGCCCTACATGTGGCCTTGCATGTAAGTGAGCTTCAAATCTTGTTTTACGTTCAAGTCCATGAGTTAGATTAGATGTGACTTGCAAACAAAAGTGACCTAATGAAATCATCCTTATGAAAGGTGGGAAGGAAGCTGCAGACAGGATAAGAATAAGTTGCTCTGTATTTATTTGGTAGGACTACACTTTTATGCCCAGAAAGAAAACACAGTTTGAGGTATCCCATTTCAGTAAATTTCCTACTCTGGCTTTACGTCCTGAATTTCTATGCCCATTCATCAAGGTATAGTACCATCATACACAGTAGCTAAAAATTTTCCCTGAGATTATCAAAGCTCTGCCTTTGGCCACAGGACATCTTACCAACATTTAGGAGAAAACAGGAAACTTGAAATCTCTCAGTGTGGAAGAGGCAGACAACTTAGGTAGAATTCCTGAGAAAAGGGTATAGGTTCAACCAAGCTACTAATTAATATTTTGCTGGCTGTGAACTATTATCCCTTCAACACTTCCAAACATTCTAGAAGGGAAATTCATCTCATTGCACGTAAAGTTGCTTTATCTGTTTGCTGTGTGCAAAGCATATTTGCTTTCACTAACTGCCAGTCACCTTAATGTCTTGTTTCCAGTCAAATGCAGAGCTAGTGAGGTAGGATAAGCCTTCCCCCAGTGACATATGAGAAAGAGAAAAACCCAGGAACATACAATGAGAAAAAAAAAAATGGCTGTCACATTATATGCTCAGCCAGGCCTACTGTTTTCCAAAATGGTTTGGTCTCATAACAGATCGCATAACGGTGATCTTTCAGAAGGAGACCAGGGAGAGACTTATCATGTCATATCCCAGCTGAATCAAGTCATCAGAGCCCAATGCAAATGGACTTGGCACGTGTCTGCCAGTCTTGCTGGGCTGAGGGGCCATGCTGGAGGCTAGTCAACTTTTAGCTTCCCCTCCTGGGCTGCAAGAAATCACATTCTGGGAAGGAGCCAGCTTGCCGGGATAGGTCGGCCTTAGATTTTGTAGTCACTGCTCCACCCACCCATCCCCCTACTGTGGCACAATGGGATGACTGTTCCCTATGGAGGACTTCCCTTTTTAAAAATAAACAAGCAAAGGTTTCCCCAATGTGACCCAAATTCAATAGTGGAAGAAGGCAGTGCGTCCTGGGGTGGGGAGAGTGGGAAAGGAAGCGCCTGGCACACAGGCTCAGCGGCGACGTGCTGTAGGTGCAGGCCTCTGAAGACGAAAGAATGAAAGGAAGGCTGAGCGTGGGGGGTTGTGGCACTTCTGAGACATCATTCCATGGACACAAAGCTCCCACTCCCTTCCTTAGGTCTTCTTGGGGTAGCTCTGACAGGCTTTCCCCATGTCTTTCAAGAAGTTAGGAACTCCATTCTGCAAAGCAAAAGAGACTGTCACCTCTATGTCCTCAAGGCAATCACTCCTGACACGCTGAGAGGTGGCAAGAAGCAAACAAAGATGACTTGGGGAGTAATGAACGACCACAGGGCCCCCGACCTGATGTCAACAGAAGGTGAAATCCAGGGCAGAGGTCAGACTTGGCAGCGGGGTCTCTGCTGCAAGACACTACTTTATATTTTGGCTTTTACTAGTACAAAGCGAAGACATTTCAGTCAATTTTAAAACATCACAGGAAGCAGGACTGAGCTGGGTTACGAGATTTTTCCTGAGGTGAAAGAAAGGACTTGCCTTACAGAATGTGAAAATGGTAAGGATGCAGGAACCGGGGGTGGAATATTCTATTATCTAACTTGAACGTTGTGCAAGAATTTCCCTAAACTCTGTCTTATTTTACTCCCTTTCCACAGTGTAATTAATATCCAGCTCCAGTTTTAAGGGGGGAAAAAAAAAAAAAAAAGGATGGCTTCCCTAGATTATCGTCAGAAGCTGGGCCAGGATTCAGAATCACATGTCTGACTCAACGCCTTTGTGCTTTTCTCTCTCCCAGGGACTCTGTTGAGCTCTCCAGCCAGTAAGTAGGACATGCACAAAGCAGGCTAAATGGTCCCTGCGATGCCAGGCTCCTAGGCAGTCCCTGGTGACCCAAGCTACAGTTCCCTTTCCTTTCACAGGAAAACAAAATAATAAAAGTAGAGGCCTCCCCAAGTGGACACATCTGGTGGTCTCCTGAGCCAGTTCGGTCTGTCTTTCTCCTCCACAAGCAGAGGCCCAAGGCATCAGGGTTCTCAGAAGGAGCGGGCTATTATCTGAAGGTTCCAGAGAGTGATCTTGGTGGGGTCCTGGAGCATTAAGCAGGGAGGGGCTAGCATTCCAGCTAACAATCCTTTGCCTTTTGTCCCAGCCTCCATCCTGGGTGTTGGCAACCCCAGACCTAACTGTAGTCACTCAACCAAGCTGCTTCATAAAAGAGCCTCATTAGACTGCGACAGCGCGTCTCTTTAGTCTGACAGCCCCGTGGGCTAAGTCAACATTTGTCAAACACACTTCCCCCTCCTGCCTCCTCGGATCTCACCTTGGCAGCCCAGTTAATGAGCCAGGACGGAATTTGGCCACCCGGGTTATCGAAGTAATACATGAAAACTAGAGGGGGAAAGAAAGGACAATTCAGAAGGAAGAAAAACATTAAAAAGATACAACAAACCCTGTGAACCTTCTACCTTCATATTCAGGCCCAGAAATAAGAGAGAAACTAACACATAATTCAGGGGGTTTTCGCCCCCCCGGCCCCCTGCCTTGTCTTACAAAATATTTATATACAAATATTTTTACAAACATTTTGCTATTTATTAAAGACCTGACCAGTGCTAGGTAACTTATCTAGTCTCTCATTTAATTATCCTAACAATCCCTAAGAATTGGTAGAATTGAACCCAGGTTTATAAACAATAAACTACAGACTCACAAGAGTTAGGTGACACAATCAAGGTGACAGCTCGTAACAAGACTTATGTGGTTCAGGTTTTACTTAAGATGCAAGATCACACTCATTCCAGAATATTCCCATCTCAGTGTTTCTCCCTGGGGCTGCAACTCAGGCAGAGGGGAACTGAGCCGCTGGGTTAGTGCTGAGCAGGAGCTGTGTCCTCTGAGGTGGTCTGAGCAGCACTCTCACCCACCCTCAGGCCTGGCCTATGTATCCACAGGACCAGCCTGAAGTGACTGTCTAAACCGTCTGGTTCACCAGGCTATTCTGATTTCACTGGGACAATGGAAGGGTACGTTAAGAATGGGCTGAGTGAGATTTAAGCAACAACTTTGCACTAACCAAGTTTCCAGGGGTGACCTCAGTCCCCTCCCCTACTTTCTGACTTCAGGAGATAAGTTTGTAGTTTACATGTCTCCCATCAGCATGGCCTCCACAGGGGTTGCCCGGCCCGGTGCACCCACATGCACCATCTCTTTACCTTTGCTCCCCTTCTTGCCATCACTCTCAATGGCCAGGCTTTGCTTGTACCGCTGCACTCGAATCACACCCGGCTTCTCGGTAAGCTGAGGGACACAGGTGCTCTGTGCCAGGATCACGTGGATCTTCCGCCCTTCCACATCCAGGTCTCGCCGCTGCCGTTTGTAGACGTACTGATCCACCAGTCAAGGCAGCGTTTCAGATGACAGAAGGGAAGCCCCACAAGTCAGACGCAACAGTGGATGAGTCTGTCCCTTCCACTTGGTGTCTGCTCCCTTGTACTGTTACTCACCCGCCCTGCAAAATGGGGCCTCCCACCACCTGGTATGATAATTTAGAACTACCCTTCACCATCTGTGAATGATTCCCTAAGCTTTTACCCATGCGGGGAAAACCACTTGTAGAAGGTACTATGAGATTATCAGAGGACTGGTCACATAGCAGCAGGCTGATCCCGAGTTACTGAACCTCAGACTCAGTTTCTGTATCTAAGAGATGCAAGTAACAGCGCACAACAGGCAGGCTTGGTAGGGGTCAGAGGGGCGGGAGTCTGGAGCAGAATAAGCTCTTGGTAAATTCTGCTTTGTCTGACCCTGTCCTGGTCCAGCTCTGACTACTGATCTCCACGTGCAGAGCACAGACCAGTGGTGAACACAGGAGACACAGGAGCACCTGAAAGCTCAGCAGGCAGATTCCCTCTCTGGGTTAACACTGGTTCACCAGGAATAACAAAGCTCTTTCATCTCAGCAGACAGTCCCAGAACCACCAGCATGCCCATGGTGCTAGTCGAGGGAAGATAATTAAATTCTAAGTAACACTTACTGAGTCACCACTCATGGAGTCCTTAGCATGTAATAAACTGTTTTACACACAGCTTTAATTTTGACCCTGCCAAAGTCCCCGTGAGTTCTGTATAAGTACGCCCATCTTACAGATGACAAAATCAAGGCTCAGAGAAGAAATGTGCCCAAGATCCCATGGTCCAGCTGAAGTGACAGAATCTCAATTTGAACCCAGATCTGGCTGCCAAAACCATTTAGACTGTCATTGGTAGACGGGGCTCAACTCTTTAATGTGCTCATTTTACTTTCAAATGACATGACTTCAGGTTTCAGACTAGAAGGAATTAAAAGTGTAAAACAATCAAAAAGCCACAGTAAACAACACAATTCCACTTACTATAACACAGCAACAATCATAGTCCCTGAGGCCTCAGAGTGTCGGCTGCACCCACAGATGACCCACCCTTCCCGTGAGCACCCTGCAGGGCTGCCTGGACACTGGGTGGTCTATTGCCCCCACTCTCTTTGTACTGGTGGGTGAAGTTTTCAAATGTTTCCGGGAAGAAATGATGTTCTTGGGTATGGCTTTCCTCTATCTCAAGCCTTTTACTTTCTCCTCACAGCAAATATTGCTCCATTCTCTCCGCAACTTATGTGATAGAAGCACCTACCATTCCACTGAGGAAAAACTTAACTTGATAGATTGATTTAAATTTGGCACATGTCTTTGAAGGGCTGCAAGGCTCAGTGTGGCACATAGCCCACCACCAGTTCAGGACCTCCAGTTTAGGCACAGAGAAGGGAAGGCCTTTTAAAAGGTCACACAGCAAACCAGGGAAGGAATACACACTCAACCTAGGATCGCTCACTCCAAAAGTAATCTTTTCCACTGCACTATTCTCTCTTCTCGAGAATTGAACAGTCCTTGTTGGAGAGACACGTGTGCATATATAACTCACTGTGGAACTGCATGGCAGTGGAAAGTCATAAATAGAACTCATAGCCTCAGATGTCCACTCCTGAGGATACCCACCCAGCAGTGTCACTGGGAGGTGCCCAAGACAAGATCACTGTCCCTGGAGACAGCTGGACCCAGAGCCCAAATCTGTTTCTTCCACCAACTAGCTGTGTGAACTTAGCTAAGTCCTGAACTCCCCTTTAGCTGACTTAGGTGTGAAACGGGTGGTGCTCTCTACCTTACCAAGATGTTGGCAGGATAAGAGAAAACCACACAAAATTAATGAGATCAAGGAATCAACAATTTGTGGAAATGCATGCCATAAATACAAACTACCTAGTAGCATGGGGGAATTCTGTCAAGAAATAAACCCTAAGGGATTTATTACCTAGTTGGGGGCTAGGGCAGACAAATACCTGTAGATACAAAAGCAGACACAAATAATGCACACAAAACACACCACACATTCCCTCTCTCTAGAGAATCATTATTTGGGAACATACAGACATAAAGAAAGTCAGAGCTAGAAGGACCCCAGTGATCGCCTAGTTCAGCTTCCAAGCTTTGTTTTTAAGTCTGCTAGGCCCTTTGTTCAAAGGGTCTGATAAGGTGATTCACTGTGTGACAGAGCACTAAGTGGCTGCACTGGCAGAGGACAATGAAGGGAAGGGGACCCGTCAGTCACCTACCCCCACCTTGGCCACCCAGCAAATTCTCATCTCACCTCCCAGGCTTTCTCCACAGGGCTTCTTCGCCCCTCAGAATGTTAACTAAAGCTCCCCACGTTCCACCAGTGACTTCACTACACAAATGAGGAAATGGAGGGAAGAAGCACATCCCCCATTCATAGGGTCAACTGAAACGGAAGAATTGGGAGAGCTGGAAATGCAGGGGTCTGAGTTCTAGTCCCCCCTCTGCCACTCCTCTCGGCCATTTTATGCCTTTGATTCCCCACTTTCTAGATTGAGAGTGTATTAAACACTCATTACGAGGATTCTTTGCAGGTCCCCATTTCTGAGGCCCAACAATTTCAAAGTTTTATAAAACTTCTCAGGAAAGGGGGAGCTGCTCCCAGTGATCACAGTCATAGGCACTCCATGTGGTCAGGCCTCGAATCACACTCGCATCTCCGCAAGCCACACAAGCCACAATGTTAGCAGACGCTTCTGCAAGAATCCAAGACAATGTTGTCCATGCTTGCTGGAAGACCACCGGTTGATGGCTGCGGGCACAGAAACACTTGGAAAGCCAAGAAATGGTGTCCCCGGGGAAAGGATACATCTCGGTTGGACATGGGGAAAGGGTACTTCACTTCCCAGTAGATGACGGTCTCTCCGTTGCATTCTTTCTCATACAGTTCTAAAGAGAGCAAAAGAAGTTAACACATCTAGAAACCTCTTTACCTCCCATGAACTAAAAGCCTAGGTACAACGACCTCTAGGACATGACAGATCACTAACTCATAAGGCACAGAATTCTAGAAAAAAGCAGGCAGACTCATTACCATTGAAAGCGCATCGCCCAGAAGCACAGTGCAGCAGATATATAAATACAGTAAAAACAAAAGAACCCCAAAAAATATGTCTGTCATATAGTACAAACAAGTTTCTCAGAACAGAATGTAATGTGACAAAACCAGGCATCCCAAAATAAATTTTCAGAGGTTTTAAAATCAAGGTAACCGCCAGATGTCACTAGAGTATCAATAGTGTTGCTTCTTTTTCCCTCTAGATTTCCTTGACACATTACGGCTAGCCTGGGAGCTGAATCACCTTGTCCAGCGTACTCAGGTGGGAAATGAAGGTTTCAGAGAGGGAGCTAGACAGTGGGCTTCCTAGATCCTGGAAAATAGCATCACTGTGGCTAACCCTAACTTTCTTCCTTCTCTCCCATGTTTCTTTCCACTAGACCACAGCTACTTTGACCAAATTTCCTTCATCGTGCTAGTGTGTGCAACAGCAGCCAACTTTTGGATGAAGATTGATGGTAAAGGAATTTCATAACGTGCACCCTCAACACCAAGCTGTACAGTGAGCTTCTGACGACTGGGAGCAGTCAAAGAACCAAGACAGTTGAAGTAGCCAACAGCGTCCATTGAAGAGATGCTGATAGGAGAAATGTATTGTTTAGTCCAATTTTTGAAAGAAAATCTAATAGAAGCAGGCTGTGTGTTACAAAGCTTGCCAGCCTGTGGGTGTCACCGAAGGCTGAAGACAGCCCTGGAATGGAAGACAGGAGTTGACAGCTGTCTCTTTTGCATGCTCAGCACTGGCCTAAGAAGGGTCTCAGCACAGCATCTCAATTTTCCTTCAGAGCATCTTCCTTCCTCTTCTTGAGTATGTTGTTTAAGGAGGACTGACTTGGTATTCATTTCGGGGCTGGGAAAATGAGCAAGACATGGCCATGGTGATTGGTTCAGGGATGGTGCAGGGTCTTAGCTGGTGACTCCAGCTAAGTGGTTTAGTGAAGACTCCCAGGGAAGGCACAGATATCCAAGACCACCAGAGTCAGGTTTACAACATCAGAGAAACCCAACTCTGGTTGTCGCTGGATCAGACACCATAGCACAAACTGCTAAGGCCGAATGCAACTCAGGCTGGGCTAAGATGCCTTAGCTGTGACTGTCACTGGAAAAAGGATTCTGCATGCTGCGTGCTTCTTGATGTTGCTATTTTCCAAATGGAAGCCATATGCACATTTATTAGCAACATCTATATTCCATGACTGAATGGAAAGGGGCTAGAAAGGCTGGGACAGAGAATGCCTGGCTTTCCCCTTGGATATGTGAGCATCACAAATCCTCCCAGATGGGACAGGTATTTGAAAACTCCAGGTGATCTCAAGCCATGACATATGTGCACCAGAAGTAAGCAAGATTCATGGTAAGCTGATGAGAGCCCATCCTGGGCCTCTGGCTGCTATCAGAAGGACAGTGGGAATTCTGTTCTTGTTCCTCCTAGGCTATTTAAATGGTCAGACTATAAGCCTCATGGCCATCTTTGTTATAACATAAAATCAGTCCGAGAATTAGGTCAGACAAAAACAGTTTAGATGGAGGATAAGTATTAGAAGCAGCTGTCCTGGAAGCTAGACTCATGGACTTTTCAATGCTATGAAACAATAAACTTTTTTTTCCTTTTTCCAATACTGGCATTAGTTATCTTTTTGTTATTTGCAACCAAGAGTCTCCTGACTTCCATAGGGATCTTTCAGAGTTTATGAGCCCTTTGGCCAGTTGCATTCCACTGTGACTGAGATGGCAGAGGTCCCTGCCAGCTCCAAGAGGCAGGAGGACCCCTATTTAATGCCTTCCATAATTCTCCATCACTTACAGGGTAAATTACAGGGTAACTCCATAGCTTGGTGGTCATGATGGGCCCTTGGGGACCTGGACGCTCCTTCTACCCTCGCTCTAGATTCTGCTACCCCAACTACGCTGAACTGTTCAGTTTCTGATCATTTCTTGCTGCTTCATGCTTTCCTGATTTAATTCATGCTACTCCCTGAGTCTGAGATCCCTTCACCCTCTAAACCTCCTAACATGCATTCTTGTCATTCAGAAAATTTTCATTCAATTTCCAAAACAGCTTGGATACCACCTCCTCCAAGAAGCCTTCCATGACCACCTAGGTATATAGGATGACAACCAACTTTGCAGTGAGAACAAAGTAGCCCTCCCAGCAAACTGGAGAGTAGATCAAAGAGCATACAGGGAGAAAGTTCTAGGAAAATTGAAGGACTATTTCGACCTAATATTAAAAGTATTTATGCCAAATTTAAAAATGTAACATACTATAGGAGAAATTAAGCTTCTGCTTTTTACTGATTTGAGCAAATAACAATAGATCCTACATTGTAATTGATTTTTTTTAAATCATATATCTCTCTCACCTTTAACATACTGGTCCCATTTTTTCCTATAGTCTAAGTCCATATAGACATCTGCCAGTAGAGTTGGTGGGCAATCTTCCAGAACACCAAAGACTTTATACTCATAAAGTCCAGACTGCTGTAAAAACAGAACAGGCAGAAACCACCTATTGATATACAAATTGAGGGAAAGCTGGATTCTGCAGCATATAAAAAGCAGCTGAGCACGAGATTCATGCAACACCATTTATTGAGCAACTCCTCTATGGTCCTGGCGGTACAACAGTGAAGAGGGGCTGGATGAGGTGCCTGCTCTCTTGAGCTTATATCTGGCCATAGGCACTGATGGTGGTGAGGACCATAAAGGTTACTCAGATCCTTTAAAGAGGCCGTAAGAAAGTTCATGAGATAAACGGTGCCTGTGGGGTAGTGGAGGAGTCACTATAATCAGGGGGTCAGGAAAGGTTTCTACACGAGTAACATTGCTCTGTACACCTTGTTCTAAATATTGGAAGGAGCCAGCCATGGGGAGATGACAAAAGTCCATCTCTGGTGGGGGAAAGACCGTTGGGTTAATGGTTGGCATCAAAGAACAGAAAGCCCACAGGGCCAGAGGACCAAGGATTGGGGGAGGGGGAATTGCAGGAAGTGGGATCAAACAGATAGTGGTGTCCAGGCCCCAAAGGCCTTTGTCAACCAGGGTGATGGCTAACAATTTTGTTCTGACTGCTATGGAAAAACCAATCAATGAATTCAAACAGGATGACATTAAATCAGGAAACAACTTTAAAAAAAGAAAAATACTGGATGGTCTCACTCATAGCAGGAATCTAGAAAACTTAAATAAGGAACCAGGAAAATGAATAACTAGAAGAAAGTGAAAATCAAAACCAACAAAAAACTATGAACCAGAGACACTCTGTGGGGGGGTGGGGGGTGGGTAGGGGAGGGAATGGGGTCAAAATAGGGGGGTGCAATTGTATGGGGAATATAAAAATAAAATTTATTTAAAAAAGAAAGATGATTCTGGCTGGCTGCTTGGGCGCCAATAACATATTATAGGGGAGCAAGGAGCCAGTGAAATGACCAATGAGAGATGACAGTGATTTGAATATGGAAATAACAGGGAAGGAGAGGGGGCAGTGATTTAGGGATGTATCTGGTAGTAATATCAACAGGAACTGCTGACAGGTTGGCTGTAGGGAAAGAGAAGGTAAAGCACTGAGATTAACTCTTAGACCCTTTGTCTCCACAGCCAGGATATAAGGACCTGCATTTCCCAAGACAGAAACTTAGATTTGTGTGCTGTGGGGTAATCAAGAGATCTACTTTTGATTTGAGGTGATCCAAGCAGGATGATGCAGGCAGCTCACATTCTGGGAAGAGGTTACTATTTTAGAGACCCATGGGGCTCACGGAATCCTAACAGATTGTTTTATCAACACCAAGACAGAATTTTTCAACAACTGCTTCTTGTTTTTCTTTATGTAAAGGACTTTTGTATAAAAGGTCAACTGGGGAAAGAAATACTGGTTTCAAATCAAAGTCCCTTTTATTCAGAAAGAGACCATGTCTAGATTCCCAAGCATAACAAGAGAATTTCCTTGTTTTACGAGAAGGCATATAAGGCATATCCAGCATATCCTTGCCCATGAGGGTTCTGGGCTGGAAATGGTCCCATTGGACATTGCACTTTCTGCACAATGTCAACTGATAATTCCTGACTCTCTCCTTGACTAAAGGCTCTATGATTAAGACTAAACCAATGGGGCCTCCCCTGGTGGCGCAGCGGTTGAATGCTGGGCTGCGAAGCTCTGCAGCGCCGGTTCGATCCCCAGCCACCAGGCGAGGGTTCCACATGGCGCGCAGACCTCTCCTGCTGCCCGCTGCTCCCCTCAGCAGTGTATTTCATCACTCTGCCTGTTCTGTTCCCCGCTCTGGCTCTGGTGAATTCTCTCACCCTCCTGCGCTTCTGACTGTACCCAGTGCTTGTATAAATGAATAAATAAAATCTTTAAAAAAAAAAAAAAAGACTAAACCAATGGCTTAGACTAATTTCAATGCAAAAGCAAACAAACGTGGCATTTAGAAGAATTCATCATTTCACATGCTAATGCAATGTTATTGAATAATTGAACATGAATGAAGCCATCTTCCTAAATACCATGCCAGTGACTTATATGAAGTCAAGGGCTAAACATGGTGAATCTTTCTAGAGATCTGAGGCATCCGAGGTCTCCCAGTTCAGGTGACATAACCCAGGGATAAACACACCCCAGTTTAGGAAACTTAGATGTATGTGAAAAGACCTGGCAAAAATAGTAATAATAATAATTGAATGCAAAATTAAAATGAATTCATAAAATCTTCTAGCTCAAATAATATGTGGCTTTCTATGGAGAGCTGTGTGGAGGTTTCTCAATCTGCTAAAGATGGAGCAATTGATCCAGCAATTCCACTCCTCGGTATTTACCCAAAGGACACAGAAACATTAATTCAAAAGGGCACCTGCACCCCTATGTTTATAGCAGCACTATTTACAATAGCTAAGCTATGGAAACAACACAAATGCCCAAAAATAGATGACTGGATCAAGAAGATGTAGTACATATACACTATGGAATATTACTCAGCAATCAAAAAAGATGAACTCATGCCATTTGCAGCAACATGGATGGAGCTGGAAGGGATCATGCTCAGTGAAATAAGCCAGAAAGAAAAAGAAAAATACCAGATGTTTCACTCATAGCAGGAATTTAGAAAACCTAAATAAGGGATAAGGAAAAAGACTAATTATAATAAAGCAAAAATCAAAATCCACAAGCAACTGTAAACCACATATACACTACCAGAGTGGGGGGAGGGGAAGGGGAGAAGGGAGTAGGATCAAAACAAGGGTGGTGGGAATTGTATGGGGAATAGAACCAAGATGAAAATGCATACATTGTGCAAAAATGAAAAATGATGTAAAAAATATATAAAATTAAAAAAAATAAATATATAAAAATATGTGGCTTTATACCAAGGGTTTCCAACCAGCAAAGGAGACACTAGGATATCTGAACCCCTAATGTGTTGTACCATGGATGCCCCAGTAGAAAGGCAGATCCCAGGAAAAACAACTTCTAGAAAGAGAAATAGAAAATGGAGCCCTCACCTCACACATACATATACATTTGGAAAGATAGTGCAGTTTTACATGCCCTACACATCTAAATGGCCATACTTGTTTAAATAACTTTGGAAGAAAGCCAATTAACTCCTTGTCCAGGAATATTGGGTGCAATTCTCTATACATACTGAGCAAAGGGGATAATTATGTGTTGAGATAACTCTCTCCCCACCCTTACATGATTTGACTTTGTTTAACTGGATAGATTAAGACAAACTGTTTCCTTAAACCTGCTCCCTTTCCCTCCTGAATGTAGTTATAACCTTTAGTGACCTCAGTCCTATACATGTCACAGAAAAGAAAAACAGAAAGCCCTCGAGGAAAAGAAAAATAGAACAATGTGATTTACGTGAATACAGAAGAATGAACCATTGTGACAACTTCCTTTAAATACTCCCTTGGTGGCAGAACTGAGAAAGACCAGAACTCCAGTGGAACAAAATGCTCCCAAAACACCTTCTCTAATCTATCAGCTGCTAAGTAGTTCCACCCAATTCTTAGATCAAAGCACTTCTCTGTTACTTTTTAAAAAGGATCTTAGCAAGCATACTCATATTTTTATTTTGACTTTTAAAAGATTAAGTTAATATTGTATAATCATAAAAATAATTCATATTAATTATAGGAAAATTAGGAAATGCCAAAAAGAATAAAGATAACAAAAATGGCCTGTAACTTCATAATCTACAAATACTTATTGGTAGTATTTGACACATTTCTTCAAAGTAAATAAATATTTCTCTATGTTGCAAAATGGGGAAAATGGGGTAAACAGTTTGTCTTCTCATTTTTAACAACAGTGTGTTAAGATCATGAAGAGATCACACCTGATTTAATTGTTCTTAAAAGCTGTTTCTGTTTTCAAATATTTTTACAAATACAAATGTTGCTGGAATAATCTAGTTTCCACATGGATCCACACAGTCCATAATTTAAATTTTTCATTAGGAAAGTCTCCTGAGAGATAAATTTCAGGGTCAAGGGGACTAGCATTTAAAAGCCCTTTGCACTTTTTATAAACTTTAAAGAAATATGTTCCAATTTATACTCTCCGGAGTAACAAAGAAATATCTTACCAGGATTGGGTGCACTGATTGTACAATTTGGTAGGAGAAAAAAATACATCTTGATTTGAACAATTTTTTTAAATTTTTGCTATGTAAGATCCCTTTAAAATTAGAGGTATAAATTCTCCGTAATATTTGTTGCAAAAATGTTTCCAAGCTTACTGGTATTTAATGACTCCAAACAGCATTATTCAAGAGGTTTCTGGCTCTTCCTGAAGCTCCTCTACAAAAGCAATTTTAAGGATGGTTCAATTTTTTTGTCTAAATTAAAACACACTACATACTTTTCTAATGCTCCATTGATAGGACATCCACTTCAGATGGTAAAAGAACCATTTGATAATAAGAGAATCGGTCAAAATAATGTGCAGGATACAATTATCAGAAGCAGCAGAAAATTTAGTGTACCAGGTATACCCTTTCTTGCTTGCTAAGAGAACCCATATGGCAGGGTGCCCAGCTAATAACTGCCCTGGTCTTCTGAAAGGATAGAGGTCATCCTGATGCCGCCTTCCTGTTTTGAATGCAGACACGATAGCACTGCAGCAGCCATTTTATCTTATACCGAAGGAACACACCTACAAAGGCAGAGTCCAAAGACTTCAAGAGTTTTGCTGGCCTCTTTGAGCACCTAAAAAATGTTGTCAACTGCAGACTGCAATTCCTTCTCATTCCTCCTAACCATTAGTCAAACTGCTTCTCCCCACTGATCAAGCCGAATGAAATGCTTGCTGACCAAACCGGGGAAGCTTCTCTCCTTTCAGAAACCTAGACTTTGGGCCAGCTCAGCCTGAGCCGGGCTACCAGGCTCAGTTTGCCTCATGTGCCATGTTCTCCGCTCAATTATCAAATTACACTACATCTCATCTCAGTACCCCCTATATGGTTTCAGGTCCTGGT